ATTTTGGGACATGTATTAGGGACAAAGAACATGTACAACCCCATCCTGTGCATATGTATATATTTTGAAGTTAGTCCAGCTATTTTTAATGCCTTTTTAACCTGCTTTGTATAATGTTGTTTATAGAGGGGGCATGGAAATAGATGTTCCAGACACACTACAGTGGTGGTAACTATATCCAGTTTCAATTTGCATCTCAATGATTGCAGTAAAATGCTCTGTTGTGTTAAGGCATGGCCTTCTATTAGATTCTGGAAAAAATATTATTCATACATTATCTATGTGCCTCAGTTGCCACCTGGAACGTGAATTGTAATGTACATACAGGACAGGTTGAAAGACATTTTGACTACAAAAAAATCCAGCTGCACATAATGTCAAGGGGAAACACTGTGGACCCTGTGCATCAAATGCAGATTTAATAGGAGAAAATTACCACACAGTCAGGTAATTGCATAAAAACCCTATAGCTCTACCTCAGTTCCACATCACTCACTGTGATTTCTTGGCCAAAACCTGACAGTTGTGGGTCAGTTTGCCTCTTCACCCTTTCTGCTTTTCCCTGTCTGAAAGCTTTACTGAAGCTTCTCTGCTGGTGACAACTGCTTCTAAGAGGAGACTTTGGCTAAATTCAAGACATGGGCTTTACTGCCTGCTCTTCTTTTCATCCCTGTCTTAAAATCCTTTTGGCAGGAGTACTTAGCCACCTTGGGTCTGTATGGAGAAAAAGACAGGATATAAATGAAGGAGGAGAGCCAGCATAGTGTAGTGGTTTGAGTGTTGGATTATGACTCCAGAGACCAGGGTTCAAATCTCTGCTCAGCTATGGAAACCCACTGGGTAATCTTGGGCAAGTGACCCTCTCCAGCCTCAGAAGATAGTAATGGCAATGGCAAATATCCTCTGAAGAAACTTGCCAAGAAAACTCTATGGGCTTTATCACATGGGGGAAATCCCATGCAGAAACGGGGTTTTAAATAGAAAAAAACCTGCAAAATGGGTAGATTTTCAGATGATGATGTTAAACTGTTGTTAACCCAAACAGAAAGTAGTCAAAAGCCGCTTCTTTTTACTTTTAGAAAATCATGAAAGTAAAAAGGAGCTGCTTTTGACTACTTTCCGTTCGTGTTAACAACAGTTTAACAGTGATGTGTGTGAAAATAAACCCACTTTTGTGTGTTTTCCCCACCTTTTAAATCTCGCTTCTGCATGGGATTTCCCCCATGTGATAAGGCTTTATGACAATTTTGCCTTAGGGTCACCATAAGGTGGAAATGTTTTGATGGCAACAACAACAGCAACAACTAAATTAAGGCTGAGATCCCATGCAGAAACTCTGTCATTGCAGTTACATCTGACAATGCTACCCACAAAAAAACTACCTTTGCAGCCTGGTAGTGCCCTGAAAAGTTTCTGAGCTGCTGGAGAAAGCCTCCAGGGTCCTGCCGCAACTGCT